CAGTACAAGAGGGATGTGGAGCTGCTGGAGAGAGTCCAGCGCAGGGCTACAAGGCTGATCAGGGGCCTGGAACATCTGCCCTATGAGGAGAGGCTGAGGGAGCTGGGCCTGTTCAGCCTGGAGAAGAGAAGGCTGAGAGGGGATCTAATTAGTGTATATAAGTACCTCAAGGGAGGCAGTGAGGAGGATGATGGCCTCTTCTCCCTGGTGGCCACTGACAGAACTAGAGGTAATGGCCACAAACTGAAACATCGAAAGTTCCACATGAACTTAAGGAAAAATTTCTTACCAGTGAGGGTGCCAGAGCCCTGAACAGGCTGCCCAGAGAGGTTGTGGAGTCTCCTTCTCTGGAGATCTTCAAAACCCGCTTGGACGCAGTCCTGTGCCATGTGTTCTAGGTGACCCTGCGTGTGCAGGGGGGTTGGACTAGATGACCTCTAGAGGTCCCTTCCAACCTTAAGCATTCTATGATTCTATGAGATCCCTACCTGCCTCATTTGTACAGGTAATTAAGCTTACAAATGAGCCCATTTGCAAACGCAGTCAGTTGCTTCCACATTTCCTCACAGTGGCAGCAGAGTGCATGCGATACAGGAGGCCGGAGTTGAACTCTAGTTGGCTCTGCTTCGTACCATCCATCGGAGATGCTTTCAAGGTAACTAGGAAGGCATGGAGGGGAACTTGGAAGAAAACGCAAAAGATCAGTGCATTGGTGACCAAATGGATAAAGACATAACGGGGAGGGTGGGGGAGAAATTAGGTGTTTTGAGAGGGATAAATGGATGCATGGATGGATTGCGGGCTGATGATCCAGAAGATGGTTAATGAATAGGTGCCAAAGCGATCCATTTAATAGGTTAGATTTGCCCGTAATGAGAACTCAGAAGTGCTTAGCTGCTATAGTTGTTAGGTTTGCACCGCTTATCCCTTAGCTAAAGCAATACAATAAGGTTGATGCTGGAGACATCAGAAAGGCAGGTGCCTCCATAGTCTGGGTGCCCCTGCGTGGATGGTGAGCAAGGGTAGTGAAAACATTTGGACTGAGCTCCCCTGGTGCTACTGCAAGTCCTTTGTGCATTTCCCCCATTGCTTTATATATTTCTCTCTTGAAAAAAAATATATGTTTTGTGATTAAATTTTATTTTCAAAATGTGTCACATTTAGTTTTGATGATAACAGCTATGACGCATCACTGTTGTGAAAACATGAAATTTTTGGACCCTTGTCAATCAAAATCAGTCTTTCAAGTGTCAGGAGGAAGCAGAGGGCACCATAACTTGCATTTTCTCAGAAACGACATTCATGTTCCCGGGATGTTTGTCCAGCTCTTGCCTTGGTGATGAAGCCGTCAGGGAGCTGGGTTGAGTCGCAGCAGGGGTAGTTCAGGTTGAAGGGGAGATGCTGCACTTGCAGCTTTGCTCATTTACCTCATCAGGACTGTATCAAGAAGTGGGAATTTATCTCCTTGTGGCGCTGCTGTCAGCACGGTTCAATCCCTGCCATGCCCCGCCACCCCTGCGGCGTTCCCGGTGTGCAGGCTCACGCTGGCCGTGCCGGCGCCTCTGGCCGAGCTCCTATACCAGCCGAGCTCCAGGAAACACTCGATTTATTGCGCCTTTGGCAAAATGTAATTTCCTTGGCTTAAAAAAATGGTTATTTGTTTAGTGTATCAGCCTATTTGGAGGCCATGAAGCGTTGCCTTCCTACTTATACGTGCAATAGGCTGTGGCCTGAGCCCAGGATTGTCCGTGGTGAAATGCTGCTCTAACATGGGGATGTTTTTTAATGAGGTATCGATTATTGCAGCAGAATGAAGGTGTTATCTGTCTTGGAGCTGACTCCAAGTGCTCCATTGTAATATTCTACCTGCACTTGGCCTGTAGCTCCCACTTCATCAGCCTCTGGGGACTGATGTGGTTTGTCTTCTGCTCCACCGAAGGGACTTGCCTAGACACACTGGTCTGACCACACTTTGCTTTTTCACCTGGTGAACTCTATCGCAAACAGGCCTTTTGCTTTGTGATTTTCAGGGTTAAAAGCTAGGCTGATTTTGCCATGGTTGCAGTGTTTGGTTTAAAGCAAAATATTTGTTTAACATATGCTATTGCATTTTAATTTTAGCCCATTGTTTCATTCTTCTTTTTGTGATCTTTGTTTTCTGTTTAGCATTTTCCTTGCTTTGTTGTTTCTGGAGGTGAGTTTCTGGGTTTGTTCCAGCTTGGCCAGCATTGTCCTTAAGCCCCTCTGTTTTGTACAACCTTCAAAACACTCAGCCCCTTGACTGGGGCGACTGTACCGAGCAAGGGGCCTCCAGAGCAAACCATTGGTGCAGCCTTCTCGGTGGCTGGAATGGAGGAAGGGACGTGGGCAGCGCTTGGGCTTATTTTCATGGACGGCGCGAAGACCCTCCTTTGAAACAGCTTTGTTTTCTGCAAATGGACTTGCCCCTTGCCGAACCCAAAGGGCAAGCTCCCTGCACTGGAAATCCTCGTCCCCCTCTTCTATTCCAGGCAGAGCTGCACCAATGCTGTGTACAAAAGGGGCTGCCCCAAGCGCACGCACAGCACAGGAGCCGCAGGGCCGCGAGCGCCTGGCCCACGCGTCTGGCCGCTGGTGCTCAGGGGCTACCCATGCCAAACGCCTTTGCATTTGTTTAATCCTGTGCATCTTCCAAT